CCCCCCCCCCCCCCCCCCCACCTAGGCAGTAGTGGAGTTTGAACTCAAGGCTTCCTACTTGTTAGGCAGGCACTCTACCACTAGAGCAAGGCTTCTAACCGCAATTTACTCTGTTTTTTTTTAAATTATTTTGGTCGGCTGTTGAGATGAGATCTTGTGAACTGTTTTCCACGTACTTTGATCCTCTTAGGATTCTTTTCAATATATTCACCTATACTATCTCCTTTCTTCTGAGCACTTACTCCATTAATAGCTACATATTCATTGACATGATTAATGAGTGTCTATCTTGTCCACTAGGTTGTAAATGCAGGGAGAACTGGATCTCTGCCTATATTTACTCCTCACAATACCTACTGCAGAGAAAGAACTCAAAAATACTTTCAAAATACTTGACACTTATGCAAGGTACCCAACACACAGACAGCACCAAGTAAGTGCTTCATAGGGTTGAGATCTCATCTCAACAGAAAAGGCTGTGAGTGGTGGCACTTGCCTGTCATCTCCACTATGGTGGGAAGCAAAAAGGGAGGTAGCAAACCTGGCCAACCTGGGAAAAATGTGAGACCCTATGTCAAAAATAACCAGAGTAAGCTGGGCACCAGTGGCTCATGCCTGTTATCCTAGCTACTCAGGAGGCTGAGATCTGAGGATCATGGTTCAGAGCCAGCCCAGACAGGAAATTCTATGAGACTCTTATCTCCAATAAACAACCAGAAAATGGAAGTGACGCTGAAGCACAAGTGGTAGAGCACTAGCCTTGAGCCGAAGAGCTCAGGGACAGCTTCCAGGCCCAGAGTTCAAGCCCCCACAGCATTCTACCACTTTTGAGCCACAAGGCCAATTTCTGTCCTTTTGCTGTTTAATTGGAGATAAGAGTCTCACAGACTCCTACCCAGGCTGGTTTTGAGCCATGATTCTCAAATCTCAGCCTTTTGAATAGCTAGAATTATAGGATGAGCCACCAATGCCCAGCACATACCATAACTTTCATCCTTTTATTCTTTTAAAATACAATTCAGTAGTTTTAAAGTATATTCACAATGTTGTGAAAGCCATCATTACTATCTAACTCCAGGATATTTTCATCAACCCTAAAAGAAATCCTGTGCCTCTTAACAGTTACTCCCTATAGGCATTCTCACCCACTTCCCCTGGGGGCCTAGCCACCACGAACCTTATTTCTTCCTTTGTAGATTTACCTATCCTGTATACTTCATGGAAATGAAATCTCAATATGTGGCCTTTGGTATCTGGCTTCTTTCACTTAGTATAGCATTTTCAAGGTTCATCTACATTGTAGCATATACCTCATTCTTTTATGACAATAATATTACACTCAGGGATATGAATATGTTACATTTGCATATTCACTCATCTGTTGTTGGACATTTAAGTTGTTTCTATTTTTCGTCTATGAATAAGCTGCTGTGGTCCACATTCATGTGCAGGATTTTTGTGTTAATAAATATTTGTGTGAACTGGTTGCTGGTGGCTTTATGTCTGTAATCATAGCTATTAGGGAGGCTCATATTGAGAGGACTGTGGTTCCAAGTTCAGCCTAAGCAGAACCATTCATAAGACCCCTTCTAAGCCTAGAGCTTAGCTTGGTGATATATACCATAATTCTAGCTATGATGGGAAGCCTAACCTAGATACATGACTCCCAGACTCATCCCAGGAAGGGAGACAATATGTCCAAAATGACAAGCAAAAAGTAAGAGTAAAGGTGTAGCTCAACAGTAAGAATACTTGCCCTTCTGCCTAACAAGTGAAAGGCCTTTAGTTCAAACCCCAGCATGCTCCTCTCCCAAATATTTAAGTCAATGAAGGGCTAGGCACAGTGCATCATGCATGTAATCCTAGAAACTCATGGCAAGAATCCTGGTTAGAGGCCACCCAGGCAAAATATCAGTGAGACTTCATCTCAACAAATAAGCTAGATGTGGGGCACAAAGCTACGAAGGAGGCATGGGTGGGAGAATCAAGGTCTAAATCTCGCCTTAGGCAGCCTCTGAAAAATAACTAAAAAGCAAAAGCAGCTTATTCATAGATGAAAGCAGAAACAAGTTAAATGTCCAACAACTGATGAGTGAATAAGCAAATGTAGCATATTCATTTCCCTGAGTGTAATATTATTGTCATAAGGGCTAGGGGCATGGCTGACACGATAGAATTGTACCTAGCACGGCAAGGAGGGTTCTGAGTTTAAATTCAAGTACCACAACAAATAAATATTTGGATAAGTAAATGAATGTGTGATTGACTCCTATTTTATCATGTGTTATGATTATCTCCTTCTTCACTGCTTCTGGGCAGGTATGGGCCGGATTGTGCAGGCTGAAGAATATCTGTCTCAAGCCCAGTGGACAGTGCTCAAGTCAACTGACTGTAGCAATGCCACCTACTCTTTACTGCATCGGAACCTGGGACTTCTCTACATAGCCAAGAAGAACAACGAGGAAGCCCGTTATCATCTGGCCAATGATGTAAACATGCTAAATTAGAACATCCAGATGCTTTTGAGGAAAAGTTAATTTACTTTTCTTCTTCTAACTTCTCTAAAACTTTCCGTTTATAATGAACACATCTGATGACCTGAGTTTAAGCCTTTCCACCTGGTGGCCAGGTCACAGCTTCCCCCAGGCCTCCTTGCTCTGTAGATAATAAGGGAAGGCAGAAGAGCACACAGGTTGAGAGAACATGTTACTTCAAGCCTCAGCTCTGTGGTTCATTAGCCACAGTCTGAGACCAATTATTTAACCTCTTTCCTCACCTGTAAGACAAAGAGTGTGAAACAATCTGCCACTGCAAACATTAACAATAGAAGAAAAATGTATGTATACTTGGGCTATTTCAAAAAAAATAACAATGTCTCTAATTCAGAGTATGGTTATTAAATTTAAATGAACTAGATCTATAAGAAAGCACTTACAAACTATAAAACTCTGTACAAATGTCAGATAGGATGATGAATGTGATAACTGAGCTGATCTTCCAAAATTATGAAGTTCCTATTAGAATTTCTGTATTGGGAAATATCAGATGGGAGAGTTCCTGAGTCTGAAATCAGGGTTAGGTTAGGTCACCCTGCAGTCTCCGTGTAGGCAGGCATTTTCCTTAGCTTCTACACTGATCTTACCACCAAGTGATACTTCTGGTTGCTTGCAACAATACAGTCCTAATAAATTCATTCTTATACTGTTTATTGCCCATATCTCCATAGTCCAATCTATTTCCTGCTCTGGGAGGCTAAGCGCCATGGACTACAAAACTTGGACTCCACTGCTGTGTGGGTTTTGAAATTGAGAGACCTAACAAGGGAGATATTCTCTCTGCTGCCTTTGTACCCTAGCCCAGCTCTAGAAACATGGTCAGTGTTACTGTCTCACAACAGCTTCTGCTGAGTGGCCTTTTTCCATAGTGCCACGTCTGGCTGGGCCCTGTCTCCTTTCCTTATTTACTGAGCTGTGGGGATGATAGTAGTTTCTTGTTAGTGATTGTCCTCAGTGCTTTACTAGCCCTTGTGGGTCCCTTCATACTTCTATATCTCATCATTGTTCCACTAAACTATCCTCAGGTAATCTTTTTGAGGGTGCTATGTATTTCCACCTGTGCTCTTGCACAATACAGTTCTTCATTTATGCCTCTTTTCTGTCTTCTTCATCCTGTAACATGTTGAACAGAGAAATATTGTCTCGAGCTGAACCATACGATTAGGAAATTAGGTCAAGGTCACATTCCTGAATCATGCTTGTTTCCCCCACCCCCTCTGTTTTTCTGTACTGAGAACTAAAGTTTGGGCCTTGTGTTTGTTTGACAAGTGCTCAATCACTTGAGTGCTTTTTGTTTTAAGTTTGTGTTTCAGATAGTGTTTGTACTTTTTTCCAGGCCAGTCTTGGATGACAGTTGTCCTGTCTGCCTACAGAGTAGCATGTACCAATATACTCAGCCTTTCTTTCCCCTTTTAAATGTGGCCAAGGCTGGCCTTGAACACAGTCCTCCTGCCTCAGCCTCCCAAGTGTTGGAATTACAAGTATGTGCTACTATGCCTAGACTTTTTTTCATTAATGTATGCCCTTGTCATTACATACCACCAAATCATCCTTTAAATGTACAATTCAATGTCTTTTAGTACATTTAATGCATCCATTGGCACAGTCAAGTTTTGGGACATTACCATCACCCCCACAGATCCCTCATATCCATTTGCTGTAATTACATTCCCATCCCTACCCCAAGAAACCACTTTCTGTCTCCATAGATTTCTTTTATGGACATTTTATATAAACAGAATCATATGGAGAATTTGCATCTGACTTCTTTCACTTCTTGCATCATTACTTTGGGATTCAGCCACATCATTGCACATATTGATAATGGTTCATCCCTTTTCTGGCCCACAATTTGTTTACCTGTTTGTTAGTTGTAGGACATTTCAGCTATTCCTACTTTCAGTCTGTTATAAATAATGCTACAGCAAACGTGTGTGCAAGTCTTTGTGTAGAGACTCATTCTTATTTCTCTTGGCTAGGCACCTAGAAGAGGTTCATATAATAACTCCATGGTTAACTTTTTTTTGGGGGGGGTCTGGTCGTGGGGCCTGAACTCTGGGCCTGGGCGCTGTCCCTCAGCTCTTCAGCTCAAGGCTAGCGCTCTACCACTTGAGCCACAGCGCCAATTCTGACTTTTTTCTTTTTGCTTATGTGGTGCTGAGGAATCGAACCCAGGGCTTCATGCATGCAAGGCAAGCACTCTACCACTGAGCCACCTTCCCAACCCCTATGGTTAACTTTTTGACAAACGGCCAACCTATTTCCATAAAAGCTATACCATTTTACATTCCCCTCTGCAATTTATGAGGTTTTCATTTTCTCTTCATCCTTGCCAACACTTGTCATTTTCTGTTGTTGTTTTTTTTTTTATGATAGCCATGCAACTGGGAGTGAGGTGGAATGAAACCATTGCAATGTCATTGTGATTCTCTAATGACTATCAATGTTAAGCAATTCTTCATGTGTTCAATTTATATATCTCTTTGGAGAAGTGTTTGTTCAGAATCTCTTTGGAGAAGTGTTTGTTCAGATCCTTAGCTCATATTTCTATTGGGTTCTTGTAAATGTTCTCTCTGTGAATTCTGGATACAAGACCTTAATCAAACGTGATTTGCAAAGAGAACTCAAGCACTCTCTTTCTTCCCTCAATAGATTTATTTTTCCAGCTGTGCTTTTGGAACAGAGGATACCAGGACCTCAGGAGGTTACTTCCACCTGGCTAATATCTTCTATGGACTTAGAAAGTTGGACCTGGCAGACACATTGTACACAAAGGTGACCTGGGCAATGTGGGACATTAGATGTGACACATATACCTGGTATTTTACAACTGGTGTAGACCATTCATGAGACATATAACATTAGAGCTCAGAGAGATGAAGTTACTTGGCTAAGGTTATACAGCCTGATATACGATATGCTTCACCTTCCTCTCCTCCTATTTATTTACTACAAAACCAGACTAATTCTTAGCACCTATAGCGTGATTAGCAAATACTGAATGATGGCCAGTGAGTACCAGTTCCCAGAGGGCAAGGCAGTGTGGACATATTGAAGTGTGCAGCAGAGCAGGAATGCTTTCTGATGGCTATCTACTGCTGCAATGTCCTGTTAAAGGACCAAAGAACATATCAGTACATTAAAAATTCCATCTTGATGTGTAAACATTTTAAAATTGTTTTGAAAATGCCAGTTATGTTCACTCAACAACACTTCACTTGACCAGAAACTATTTCTTTACAGGTTGTGACTGATTTGTGTTTTAGATCCATTTCTTAGAAAGTGCATTTTGGCAGAACTCAAAGGCAAATACGTTTTGGAGTTAGACAGACTTGAATATAGAGCCAGAGCTGCTTAACAGTTTTTCCCCCCAAAATTTGAATATGATCTAAGGCTCAGACAGTTTCTATTGTGCAGTTATGTCATGTATAATTGGGGTAGTAAGAAAGTACCCTGCAAATGGTAGTGATTATTACTAGATTCTTCTTGGCCTTCTCCATGGTCTGCCATCTATGCTTTGCAGCCCCTGTCTTGTCATATGCCTTTTTTTTTTTTTTTTGGTTCAGTCATGAGGCTTGAACTCAGGACCTGGGCATTGGTCCCTGAGCACTTCTGCTCAAGGCTACCACTCTACCACTTTGAGCCACAGCGCCACCTTCAGTTTTCTGGTGGTTAATTGAAGAGAAGATCTTGGACTTTCCTACCTGGGCTGGGTTTGAACTATGATCCTCAGATTTCAGCCTCCTGAGTAGCTAGGATTACAGACATGAGCCACCAGCACCTGGCTTCATATGCACTTTTGGTGGGCCGTTTAGAGGGGAGCTTCTAGGAGCTTCTAGGATCCTCTGCCCCCAAACACAGCAAATAAAGGAGTCTTATACACAGAAACCCTGGAAGCTGTGCTTCCATCTAGCTGGTCTAGCAGCTCTGTCTGTCCTACTTGTCTGACTTCTGTCTCTTTCCCCAACAGGTTGCAGATATTTGGTATAATTATGTGAACGATCACTATCAAACGCTCTTACAGATTCGTGCTCAAAAACCAGATTTATTAGGCAAACGACTTGTGAATGACACTGGCCTGGGTAAGTGGCAGTTCTCCGTGGGAAGCAGAGTAGAGACTTGGTTCTACTGAATACACACCCAGATTATTATCTCCATAGGCAGATCTTGCCTCTGACAGGAAGAACAGCTATTCCCTTCATGGAGTACCTTAGTGCTACCTTCCCCATTTTGCAGACAGGGACAATGAGGTGAGGAGTTCAAAGAGCTTTTTACCAATGATAGGAAGAATTCAGTTCTTTATCATCATGCTTAGCCCCCAGGAGCATAACACAAAAGCACATTTGGAGGAAAAAGTCCCAGTGAGAGCCTCTGTGGTTTCTGCAGAACTCTTTATTTCTCGGTTACCCCTCCAGGGCTCATAAGCCATGATAGGTTCTGCACAGAAGTTGTGCTGCTGATTCATTCTGGTGTCTTTTCCTTCTTTTTGGGAGCAATCAGTTCCTCAGTGGCAGGGCCAAATTTGATCTAACTTCATCCCCAGAGTCAGCAAAAGGCTGAAGCGTGAGTAGCACAGTGCAGAGCCTTGCCCATTGAAAGGATTTTTAAAAAAAGGATTGGGGAATCTAGTTCTTGCTCTACAGAGACCTCTAGTACAGATGGTGATGCAGAACCCATGTGCAACAGCAAAGTGGGTTTCTACAAGTACAAATTCTAGTGCAAAACGTGTCTCAGAAAGGTAAGATGAGGACAGGTGGGCGGTGGTGAAAAAGGATAACGTTTTGAAGAAAAAGGTTTTAGTTAAGGTTAAAAAACCTAGTAGCTTTACAGAATTTTCTCATGATAGAAATGATTCATGTTACAGCATAAAGAAATGATTCATGTTACAGCAGAAAACTAGGAAATCATAACGTCTGTGTTTTTAAGTACGTGAACCATAATAATTGCTCAATAAGTAGTGCCTAATGTAGCAACAGAAATCACTGGGGACAATAGTAAACAAATTCATATGGGGAAGCAGAAGACAGTTGATCACCCAAGCATCTCTACACTTGGGGAGAGGAATTGTGGTACTATAGCTGCAGTGGAGGCTGAACAGGGTGCAGGGAATCTGGCTGTAACAGATTCCTTGTATTTAGAGTCCAGGGTCAGAAAGACTTTAGCAACTTTGGGACTGGTGGAAGAGCACGTTTTAGATTGCTCTCACGACATGTAGGCAAAGCTGCATGGTGTCTTCAGCTGTCCTACTCCTGCTGTGTGTGAGGAGAGTGCTCTCCTGCCTGTGGAGCTCCTGCTGACATGTGTGCTCTTTCTACTGGAGCCCCCTGTGAGGAGGCTGCTGCCTGTCAGCTGGTAGCTGAGTGCAGATGATGAAGGCAGGTTCAGCTGCCTGAGGCCTATGTTTTATTTATTGCAGGACTGGTGCTTTCACTTGGCTTTTTCACTTTTTTTTGTTGTTGTTGTTGGTTGTGGGGCTTGAACTCTGGGCCTGGGTGCTGTCCCTCAGCTCTTCAGCTCAAGGTGACCACTCTACCATTTGAGCCACAGCACCACTTCCGGTTTTCTGAATGTTTTATTGGAGATAAGATTCTCACAGGCTTTCCTGCTCTGGCTGCCTTTGAACCGTGATCTTCAGAACTCAGCCTCCTGAGCAGCTAGGATTACAGGCATGAGCCACCAGCACCCAGCTGGCTTTTTCACTTTTGACTGGCACTCTACCACTTGTGCTCAATGTCTGGCTCTATAATAGTTAATTGGAGATACATGGATTTGTGTGCCCAGACTGACTTCAAACCTCTATCTTCAAATCTCACCTTCCTGAATAGCTAGGATTACAGGTATGAGCCATGAGCGCCCAGCTTAAGACCTGTGCTTCTATTTCCCCTCTCAATACAGATGAAGCCCAGGATGCAGAAGCTATCCGGATCCTGACTTCAGTCTTAAACATTCGGGAATCTGCTTTCACTAAATCTCCAAAAAAAATCATCTTGGTTCTGAAAACCCTAGCCATGCTTTGCTACCTGATGATGAAGTCTTCAAAGGCAAGTTTCCCTACAAAAGTGGTCTGTCTGAAATGGATCTAGAAATACACTTAAGTAGTTGAATTCAGCTGTGTTTTACTCAATCCCACTGTAGGTTTGCTTTCCTCCGAACTCACACTCCAAAACAGTTCAGAAGCTTATGACATTTCCCATTGTTGAGTTCAGCCTGCAAAATAGAAGCAGAACTTCTTTTTCTCCAGGGAGACTTCCTATGATTGTACAGGGGAACTGTGCCTTGGGCAGTGTGGGAAGCTAGCAGGACAGAAGGACTCTGGGTAGCTGCTGGGGAAATGAAGTGACCACTCTACACTCAGTTACGAAGGTCCCTGTTGCACAGGGTTTCAGGCAGGAATGAGTTGCCTGGAAATGGCTTTTAAAAAGGTAACCATTTCTGCATGCTCATCACTTGCCAGTCTCTGGCTTAAGTCCTACACCTAACCATCATGTTTAATTCTTACAACAACCTTATAAAGTTGATATTTTATTATCCCTAGTTCACAGATGTGGCAACAGGGCACAAAGAGGGCCAATTATCTGTCTCATGTCTTTTAGTTTGGTAGGTGGCACATTTCAGGTTTATTGGTAAGTCTACAACAGATCCTCAAACAAAGGGATCCATCTGTACATGGGGCGTCACTGCCTTCTGGTCTCTTTTTTCTACATGAAATTTTCACCTAGGGAAGCCTCTAAGACCTCCGATCCTCCTTGCTTTATTTTATTCCTTAGTATGTATTAGTATGTTTAAGATACTGTCATGATTTACTCCTTTGTCATGGTTATTGTTGTTGTTATAACCTGGCTATATTGTAAGTTCCTTAGGGAAAGATATTTCTGCCTATAGTCACAGTAGCTAGAACACAGCAGCCATTCATTAAGGAAGGAAGGAAGAAAGGAAGGAAGGAAGCGGGGGAAGGAAGGGAGGGCAGGCAGGCCGCAGATTGTTCCAAGATATACTATGGAGTCTTTGTCCAAGTCAGTAACCCCCAGACCTGTCCCAGAATGATAATTGATACAAGTTACCTATTGTCTTTATGCCTCCCTATGTTGGTCCATAGGGTCCTGATTAAGATCCAACAGAGATTTCATGTTGCTGAGAGGTATACTTGTTTATACCTCTAAGTTTGTAGGGTCAGGTGGGTTTCTGGGGGGCCCACCCAGTATACATGTAATTATCTGTAAGGGGCCAGTGTGGGCTCATTGGGGCCTTTCATTTTCTATCTGCCCTATAAAAAGAGGTTTTGTTCAACCATGTCAATTTGAAAATTTGGTGGAAATATTTCCCTGTTCTCTAACCATCCCTACAACCATTTCAGAGATGGGGGCCCCTAATCCTGGTTTATCAGAGAGAGTTCAGTGGCTGGTATGAGGTGATGAGTTCTCTCCATGTTTGTAGAGTTAGATACAAGTAGGACTTCCCAATGTTAGCATTTCCTGTGATAACTTCCCTTTGTCACTGCCATTGTATTACAGGCAAAGGAATATGCCATAAGAGCCCTCACACTAGCCCAAGAAAATAACAATGTTGTTGAGCAAAAAATTATTCAAGAATTTCTAAATGTCATCTCAGCTGAAGAAGACCGTCCTGCTAATTAATAGAGACCTGTGAGCATCAAGGGATATTAAGTGGCTATCAAAGGTCTGATATGCTTCAGTCTTGTACACTGCTCTTAGGTACTCTGGATTACTGACATTCCCACCCTTTGCTCCAGCAATTGTGTACATGGCTGTGATTTAATTAGCAAATGCGAGAGGGAATAGAACTGTAGATGCAGATATGAGTAAAACTTTTGTCGTGACCTTATACTTGGTTTATCATGACTCTATGTCTTCAAGTAATGTATAATTGGATCACTCATTTGGTTCTTGTAATTAAAGTGTTAGTAGTTTGTTGTATTTCCTAGAAGCCTCTCAGTGATGCATGTTTTTTAGAACTTCACCAAGTAAGAGAATAAGGACTAGAATACATTGGAGCAGAGTGAGATATTTGTTCAGCTAGAATTAATTCAGCATTAAGCTAAGGTAGGTTGTTGTAAAATACCTATTATAATTCCTAGATCAATCACTAAGAAAATAAAAAATAGTTTAAATTAACATTAGACTAAAATGGAAGGCTAGAGAATGTCTACTTAAAGCAAAAGAAGACAGTACAGGATGAACAGAAGAATAAAAAGGACATGGAACATATAGAAAACAAATAGCAAAATGTAGACATGAACAAAACAAAAAAATCCTTCTTTATATGCCAAGGGAGCCCTAGCATGCATTGCTGAGACATCATTCTATGTTGATGTCTGGGTAAATTGAAGCAGATGTGAGCTGACTATATTGCTTAAGGGAGAGATGCAACAAGTGTCCATATGATCAAAATATAGCTTTCTCTCTTGTACCATAGTCATTGGTCCCTTTCAATTTTACCCCTTCCCTTATCTAGTCTCTGTTTTCTCTAATCTGAAGTCCTACTCAGTGGCCCTTCTGCACAGAGTATAATTAGAAAGTTTATTATTTACATTAAAATTATTTTATTGTTATTATTAACATGTACAGAGGGGATACAATTTCTTAAGTCAGGTAATGAGTACATTTCTATCTTTTGGACAATGTCACCACTTCCTTAGTTCCTTCTCCCATCCCTTCCCACAAGTTACATAGGTCATTTCCCACGTAGTGCGTACTGAATAGCATGCTTTCATCTGTTCACCCTCCTTCTCTTCCTTTTGTGCCTCCCTTTACCTCCTAGACAAAAAAAATCCAAATAAAAAACAAACACCACTACCACCACCACCAACAAAAAACATGTTTCCATTTCCTGGAGTTCATTTCAATAAATGATATTTTAAATGTTCAGAAGAGTTACAGCTTTGTGTTCCTTCCCTAACGGTCTCCTCCTTTACTCTGTTTGAATGTGAATGCCTAGAGAGTCCTGTACAGGTTATCATATCCAGTTATATTTTAGACCTAGCTTCCACATATGAGAGAAAACGAGTTTGTCTCTGAGTTTGGCTTACCTCACTTAGCATGATTTGTTTTAAACTCATACATTTCCCTTGTCTTCTGAGAAGTTAAATTAAGTCTTTTGAATTTATCGTTCCTGCTGACTGCATTTCTTCTTGATTATAGGCCATAGTTTTCTACTTTTCCACATGTCCAGTAATTCTATCCTTCAGTTTTTTTTCTTTTCAAACTTGCATTTTAAGGCTATATTTTCCATATTCATCCTATACATTTTGAAATACAACATTTTATTTTTGTTCTAAGAATTAATAAAAATAGGACTCATGGTCACTTAAAAGTATGATTCTTGTTGAGCTGTAGTAGCTCATGCCTGCAATCCTAGCTACTCAGGAGGCTGAGATCAAAGCTAGCCCAGGCAGGAAAATCTGACTGTTATCTTTAATAAGCCACCAGAAAACTAGAAGTGATGCTGTGGATGAAAGTTGTAGAGTGCTAGCCTTGAGCAAAAGGAGCTCAGGACAGCACCCAGCCTCTGAGTTCAAGCCCTACAACAGACATAAACAAACAAACAAATAGCATGATTCCTAATTTCCAGAAGGCGATCTGATTTCTTTATTGTTGATTTTTAGCTTAGTATTGTTGAAGTTATAGAACATGCTGTGTATAATTTTGTTCTTTAGAAATTGGTTCAGGGTTTTGTTTTGGGGATTTTTTTGTGCTGGTCTTGAGGCTTGAACTCTGTGCCTGGGCGCTGTCCCTGAGCACTTTTTTTTTTTTTTTTTTTTTTTGCTCAAGGCTAGCACTCTATCACTTGAGCCAGAGCACCACTTCAGCCTTTTTCTGAGTAGTTTATTGGAGATAAAGTCTCATGGACTTTCCTTCCTGGGCTGGCTTCAATCTGTGTTCCTCAGATCTCAGCCTCCTGAGTAGGTAGGATTACCAGCCTGAGCCACTGACTGGTTGAGAATTGTTTATGGCCCAAGATATAGACAGTATTTGTAAGTGTTCTGTGTGTGCTGGGAAAGAATGGAGCTATTGGGTGCAGTGTCAATATGTGCCACTGAGTCAAATTCACTCATACTTTCATATATTTTCTGATTTTTATTTATTTCTGATAAAGTCATATATAATCCATCTAATCGTAGTTTCGCATATTTCTTGTAGTTTCTGCCAGGTTTTGCTTTATATTTTAAGGCTTTGCTATTAGACATGAACAAATTCAAATATTTTGCTGATGAATTCTTTTTTTTTAATTAAGCAAACTTTTATTGAAGCTTACATTGTGGTACAGAAATACATTTCAACTGATTAAAGTCCAACACCAATGAAGAGAGAAATTATGGCACCAAAATTTTCCCTCCTCTACCATGCTAGGATAGATTTCTATTCAATCTACAGTTCTCATTTTCTAGGCTTTGTTCCACATAAACTTGTGCAATTTCCTGATGAATTCTATTACAAATTTATTCTCTATTGCTAGTAGAGTTTTCTCTGGGTTGTTTGTTGTCAGGCTTATCACCATTGCTTTCATTATTTATCTCTGCTTCAAAAGAGAAGCTTGGAACTATAGTTCCCAGTATCCCTTTTCTTTTACTAGTCTGCAAAAAATTCTGCCAGTGGAGGCCAACCACCCAAGATTTGAAAACTGCATAAGGCATAATCATTAATCTTTCTGAGAACCATCAACTGTTGTTTTCCTGAAAATAGGTTTTTCTATAAAAAGCAGCTGATTGTTGACACTTGCCCCTATTTCAAAGACTAAGTAAGCCTCTCATTCTCTGTATTAAATAAGTCTCATTATTCAAAATATCTAGAAAGGCTTCTGTTTTCCTGACTACACTGATGTTCTTGCAACCTTTTACTTTCAATCTGTATCCTCATGCTTTAGATGTAACTTTGTAAAAAACAAAAGTGTAATTTGAAGTTTTTTATCTACAAATCTTACAGTATAATCTAGTCCATTTGCATTTTGTTTGCATGCTAGATTATTTGGGTTTAAATCTATGATCTTATTTTATGTGTTCTTTTTGTTCTGCATGTTCTACTTTTTCCATTCTCTCTTTTGGATTGATTACATATTTTTCTCATTCCATTTAAAAAAAAATTTCTACCTGATTTCTCCAGGAAGGACTCAAGATAGGGCACAGGCTTCAGGATCATCCTTCCTCTTGGTGGCAAGAGTACTATGGCCATATCTTAGGAGGGAACAGCCCTGCAGGAGTGAACTAGAGGCACAACCCCAGGGCTCTGCCTGTGCTGTTCAGGTAATGGAGCAACAATCACTTTCCCAAGCCCAGGTGAGGCAAACTGTATCTATAGATTGTGAAATAGGAGAAGTGGCGCTGTGGCTCAAATGGTAGAGCGCTCGCCTTGAGCTGAAGCGCTGAGGGACAGCGCCCAGGCCCAGACTTCAAGCCCCATGACCGACAAAAAAATAAAGTAGATTGTGAAATAGGGTTCAGAGTTTATCCTGTTATCTCCCTCTCTATTGGGAGGTGAGGGCTCACAGTTTATTGCATTGCCCTATTCCCCCTGTAGGTCACAGATCATCCTGTAAGTATTTAACCAGAGATCATGTGGTAACCAGGGCTGGAAAGGCTGGCTAGGGGCAGCCCGGCATGTCTCCTAGCACAGCCTGAGAGAGACATGCAGTGTGGATGAGAACCAGGGCCCATCTTTGAAATTGGATTTCATAGGAATGCCAGAAAAGGGGCCTCAGGATGAGGAGAAACTCAATGTTATTCGAAGATAAATGAAGCCCAGAGACAGACTGCCTCAGTGGGATCTCAGCTCCATCCCTGGCCATCCTGGGCTATTCCAAATGAGATTCTGTTTAGAATTTAGGCTTTAGAAGATTCCTTGATGTTCCAGCCACTCCCCCCATCCACCACCTCCAGTCTGATTGCCCAGTGTTTCAATACCAAAGCAGATGGCCAAAGTGTGGCCATTGTGCATATCTGCTGGGACAAGTGTGAGCTGCCTACCAAGTGCCTCTGGGAGGCAGAAGTTCCTTTGCCTTTGAGAATGAACTGTGGAGATTCTAAATACTCAGAATCAGGATCCCCCAACTTGGGCCATTGTTTAGGAACTTGGGGTTCAGCCTCTTGTTATACCTGCCACAAAACACTTTTAGGGCTTTACTAATCCTGCCTCAGGATTAGTGTAGATGATCTTAAGGCTGGCCATGAGGACAAATGTGTATACCTCAAGTGGAGAACTGTTCATACCTGTCCTTGACATATACCTGGACATGTGGCTCAAAGTAGTTCTCCAAAACTTGATCCCAAGAAAGCTTCAGGTTCCACAGGGGTGCTTCACATTTTGCTGCCTGGACAGATCATTGCATTTTTTTTTGCTAATTTATAAAAAAATCTAAAATTGTTTAAGAAACATTCATCGTGCAAAATACAGTCTTTACAACATCTTAGCTGTATTTACCTCCTCTCAATTTATATACCATTAGTGTGATTTACTTCATATGCACCTTAAATTTGTAGGTCATAATTATTATTTTAGAAAGTCTTCATATTTCTTTTTGCATCTCATGTGTTCTATCTAGGCTTACATTACTGATAAATCTTTTAGTATTCTCTATAATGACATCTGCCAGTAGCAAATTCTTATTATCTTTTCTTTCTTTTATTAGAAATGTTTTTATTTTGCCCTCATTTTTTACTCTTCAATAAAAATGTCTTTCATTTTCATACATGAGTCATTGATGCAGGAAACAGTCTCAGTTCCAAAAGGTTTTATAAAGTGTGGTTTACTGGACCCCAAAGAGTATTTAAGTAGAGCTGGATGCAAGTAGTACATGCTGAGATCTTATTTTGGAGACTGAGATTGGGAGGATTGTAGTTAAGATTAGATTGGCCTGGCCAGAAAATGTTGTTGAGATACCCTTTCAACCAAGAGCTTGGCCTGATGGTGTGTGCCTGTCATCCGAACTATGATGGGAAGCCTGATATAGATGGATTGCAGCCCAAGCATGCACTAGGCAGGAAGCAAGACTGGATTTCAAAACCAACAGAAAGGGAGATAGGGCAAGATGCTAATTTTCACTCTGTGAATGAGTAGACTCTGATGTCCCAGAAAGGGCTTGATTCTAAAGTGAGAAAGAGAGGAAGGGAACCAGAAACCATAAAGAAGGTGGGACGGGCTGTGGGGAGAGAAAAACCACAGAGAACCTTTCCCTATGAAAGTAAAGCAGTGAGGAGGTTCCAGCCAGTTCCCCATTTGGGAGAGGAGAAATTGTAGACAGACTTTCCCCAATAGACTGAACTCTAGCTGCAGGGAACTGCCATACAGCCCTCAAGCCTCCACCTCACTACAGGGATTTATGAGCCAGTGACTACCCCAGTATGAAGGGCTGGCCTTGGTGAAGAAAAGCTTTCTGTGACTTCCCTGTCTTGGAGCTGGACAGTGAGTCACCATCTTGATAGATTGCCTGTTGTCTGAGTTACTGTGAAAACCTTGGGATAAGGAGCAATCATGGCCCAATGACTCAGAGGACACTTTGCCATAGAATTTGGGTATAAATCAGTCATTAAGAGGTGGTTGGAGTGTGTGTGAGAGTATGTATGTGACTCAGAGAGGTTTACCCTGTGGGAAGG